CAGGCGTGCACGTAGGAGGACAGGGCCGCGCACAGGCAGTCCTCGCTCTTCTCACAGTTACACGTGTCGAACATGCAGTTCTGGGGACGGGGCCGTCGTCACCCACACGCCATGAGCATCCCCCACGCTGCCGCCCCTGCCTCCTCTAGGACCCCTCCTCGCGCCCACACCAGGGGCCCCCACGCCCTCCGCACACCATCTTGGCACCAAGCTCCCCTCCAGGTGAGTGCTGGAAGGACCACAGCCCCTCCTGTCTGGGACCCGACAGGTGCCAGCCCGTGTGGTCAGGCTTAGACCCCAGAGCGTCTCGGCCACCACCGATCTGCCACGTGGACTCCAGGGCCCGGCCAGCCACAACCCTCAGGGCCTGTCGGCCCCAGTGCCTGGTTACAGGGCCGGAGGCACCAATGAACTCCAGACCGCGGACCACGTCGGACCCTCGCGGAGCCCCTCTCCCCGCACCGAGGGCAGCCGTGTGGCCGGGGGGGAGAGGTGGGTGGGTGGGCGTTACCGAGTAGTAGGTGCCAGGGTTCACGGCAGCATGGCAGCGGGCGAAGGGGCCGTGGGCGTCCGTCAGCCGGGAGCACCAGTGCTGAGCGTACTTCTCTGTGGACAGAGGTCAGCAGGCTGGACGGTTGGCGTCCAGTGGAAGCTACACAGACGTGTGCAACCTCCCGTAGGGAAGGGCGCCAGGAGTGCACAGGCTCCCAGGCTCCCTCCCGGGCGCCCCTGCTACGGTGGGTGGGCGGGCACGCTGAGGGCGCGCCTCCACCACCCCCGCAACACCCTGTTCCTCTTCTTCCAGAAGGTACCACAGCTTTACCAGGAGTGATGGGAAATTCGTTGGCGAGTTTGCCTGTTTACCTCCTGAATCCCTCCTCCAGGGCCAGAGTGGATTCTGCGGCCCGGGGTCACTGGCACCCAGGTGGGCCCTGGGACTTCGGGGACCCACGTACCGTTCTCCACGCTGAGGGAGCAGGGGTCCTCGAAGCTGTTCTTGACGTTGGGGCAGGCGGCCTGGGTCTTCCAGGTGTTGGCGAAGGCGGC